AAACTTGCAATTGTCAAAAACATTTTTTAGATCCAAAGATTTTAATAGCAGGATATTTAAAAATCAATGTGAAAACTAATTACAAACTATTTGATTTAATTTGGATCACAATATTTTATTTTAAAATAGCCAGTGGCAATTTTTGTTTTCATATCTTGATTACGATACAATGAAATCTTACCCTTGTGGTCATTCATGCGTAGTTACTTTGTACACGGAAAAGTATGTACTATGAAAATTAGAAGGCAAATTCAAGCAATATGATTGGACGAGAAGTTGAAAGTATGTGCTAAAGAATAATCGTTTAAAAAATGACCACGGATTTGTTCAATTAAACAATTGTCGTGACGTAAAAAAAAATACATTTACCGTGGTTTCTTTTGTTAGAATATACGTGTCCTTAATTTGTCCTCCGGAGTACATGATATCTTTTAATCGCTCCAACACTTAACATCTCCTTCATTATTCTAGCCAAAACTCCATCCCCTTTTCCTTGCGTATGGCTTATCAACTAATGCGACTTCGATTGTCACATGATTTTACAAGTTATTAGTAGCAGGAAGGATGTCGCTAGTGGAGAAGATACTTATTACCCTTCAGGATCAACTGAATTTACCATTGTTGATGGCGTGTGTGTCGGTATAATGTATGTGTTATAGTTATTTTCTTGTTGGTTGGCTGTTAATCTATTTTTTACTAGCCATGGTGTTGACTGTTATTTAGCAACTGATGTATTTTACTTGCACCTTTACTTTATTCTTATTTGTTAATGTTTCAATTGAAAAAAATGCAAATTCTATTTAACAAACGAAAGATCAAAATGGAAAATTAAAAGTCAGCTCTTTTCTCACGAAGGTTAATTTTCAACAAACCCGTAACTTGTAGACTATTTGTTTTTTGATCGATTTTCGTTTTTTTCATGGCAGTGACATGGTTATTTTAGGCATTGTTATTTTGGTATTCTTGAGCAAAACAAAACGGCTTCGTTTTAAAGTTGTTTTTGAAGATTATAGTCTACAAATAAGATTGAAGAACGAAAATAAAAAAAAGGCAATGCTCTATTATATTATTGATAAAAGGTCTACTTCTTGCAATAATACGAAGGTAGAAAAAGAAGAGAAGATACCGAAAAGGGGCAATTAAAACTTGCCAGTCGAAGGGCAACTGATATCATCATCGGTAAAATAAAAACTAGAAAAGCCAAACAACTGTCCAGAAAACCCTCCACGAGAAACGATTGATTAACACAAACCCGACCTCAGTCGAAAGGGTGTTCATTCAACTGATTCTGACGGAATACGTAATATCTGCTCCACTAGTTGCATCCGTTCTAGTGCTCATGACAAGTTATTATTTGATAACAAAATTGCTATATTATGACACATTGAGGTTTTCTTAATTCAAGTGCCACAAGAATAACTTTCTGATAATTACTTTTCTTTTCGTTTCGCATGAAAGAAGCGACGCAACATTACTTTACATACTACATTATGTATATGAAGTAATCCTTTATTCATTTGAAAAGGAAGACCTGTCTAAAACATTCTGATTGTCTTCCTTTGACCAATAAAAAACAATATGTCATAATATTATTTAAGTAGCTAGTCAAGTATTCACTATTAAAGGAACAACAATGGTGATTGAAGAACAGAAATACAGTCACTTTGGTAACACTATCGCCAAAGTGGGGGCGTCCGTTTGGTTGTGCTCCTTGTAAAGAGAGTGCCACGCTCTTTGCACGATAAGAACCCTTGCAAACACTCTTTGGGGGCCTATAGCAAGGAAAAATGTATGTTCTAATCCAATATACCCTCATTTTATTGTGGCAGTCAAAATTTACCCGACCTTCATCCCGGACGGCCTCTATTACAGGTCCTATCTATTGTATTTATTCTCAACTTGTTCTCGTCTTAAACTTACATGAAATATTTGCCACTGGACGTTAAGCAACCAACAATCAACTGATCAATCGCTAATCATAAAGACTTAATTTGCAATCATACAACGTCTACTAGCTGAATATCATTGTGTTAAAACCAGGACTATAAATCAACACTTTTTTGTAAAACAGAATATTTATTGGTCAGATACAGCTGTACACAGTTAATCTTATTAGCAAGTGTCATGTGACGACATGTCACAAAGTCGAAAACAGAAAATTCATGATCTCAAAATTTAAAAGTCAAAATGTTACCAGAATTTAAAAAGTATCATATATTATTGTTCTTTTTTTTCTATCTTTTTCTGGTTTCAGGAATTTCTAGAAAAAGTACTAGTGTAAAACCTTAACTCAGATTACAAGCCTTTTCTTCCTAATGCTAATGTTATGTACAGATTGAATTACTAGTCAGTGTCATTAAACATAATAATGTTACACAAAAATATGCATGTAGTGTGTTACCCATTGTTTGATAAGAATGCGTACTTAAAAGAAGCAACACTATCTTTCGAATCTTTGTAAAATATGAGGCGACAAATAGGACATTGACGTTAAAAAAAGAGGCGGAAGATTATAAGGGGACATTCAAAATTCATAATTCGAAATAAAACTGATAAGGCCATGGCAATAAAACGATAGACGACTTAAAGACAAACAAATAAACAAAACACTACATAGAAAACTAAAGACTGACCAAATCGGAAACTAGGGGTGATCTTAGATGCTCCGGAAGGGCAAGCAGATCCTGTTCCACAAGCGCGCACCTGTCATGATAACAATTGTCCATTGACCCCTAGAATGTAAACAGTTAATAACGGAGGTGACAGTTAATGCCTTGACGTTGTCTTATACAAATGGTAAAGAACACACATTATAAATATTATGCGTCCATTTAGCACTTTTCTTGATTTACTTTCATCAGGAACGCTCAACTATTTGAAAGTCAAGGATGTATAGGAACAGTAACATGTGAATTACAATATGATCAAAATGGACCTTAAATATAACCATTATGATTGACAGCTAGAAACTATATTTAATTTAGCTAACACCTAAGAAATCAAATTCTTGCATTGGTATTCTTGTATAAAGGATCATTCGTACTACTTTATTATTACCAATCTATATGTCACACACCAAAGCCTATCTATCTGATTTTCAAAAGAATATGGCAAATTATTATTATTTTATAATGTACAGGGCATACCTTGGTTAAGAACAGTTTATATTATTGTCGTGCTTAAATGAGGTAATGATTGTGTAATTTCAAAGTAGCAAGATTATATATTTGCCATATCATCAAGTCATGGTATATTTACATTTTATAAAGCGCATTATTGTTTTCAAATAATATAACTGCAAAGTACACAAAATTATAAAACAATAGTTTTCAATTTAGTGGTTTTTTTTTTAAATATTTGTTAGCAGAATGTATGATTATTAGTTCATGTCACATTCGATTCTCTTTAATCAATGCATCCTGCTTAAGTTGTTGTCATCCATATATCGGTTCTATCCTTGCTTCATCATTAATCGTTTTACTGAGAACTGCCGAAAATATAACTAAAACAGCCTACAAAGTATGCAGAGTTTAGTAAATTGATGTTTTAATCAACAATAAATCATTTGTTATATAAAATAGGAGTATCCTAATAAAACAATAAGCATTTAGAACCAATGATAATTAAAAAGGAAAATAACAAAAATACCGAACTCCAAGGAAAATTCAAATCGGATGGCAAAATCAAAAGCTCAAGCACATCAAATGATCAAACGAATGGAAAACAACTGTCATATTCTTGACCTTGTACAGGCATTTCCTTATGAAGAAAAATGGTGGATTAAACCTGGTTTTATAGTTAGCTAAACCTCTCACATGTATGACAGTCGCACAAAATTCCATTATATTAACAACAGTGTGTGATCAAAACAAACAGACATAATAGGTAAAGATGTCAAAAATAGGAGTACAGCAGTCAACATTGTGTTATAATCTTAAATGAATTAAATGATTTTTGATAAAAATGACATGCCTGTCCGAAGTTTTGAGCATGTTAATGAGTAGCTGTCGCTGGTTCATGTCTGTCATATTTGTTTTTCGTAAATTGTATTGTTATAAATAATGCCGTTAGGTATCTCGTTTGAATTGTTTCGCATTTTACATTTCATAGCCTTTTATAGCTGATTATACGATAGGTTTTTTTTTCTCACTGACGTACGGCCAACTATAATTGCTTTTATCCTGCAATTAGCCAAATATTGTACAAATAAAGGATACACACACAATGTTTTGCTTTATTAGTACTTATACAAACAAATTCTCCTGTTACCCCGCTTCCATGTTGAGCAAGCGGTAATGTGAATATTTCTGTTTGCGTACATTGTAACCGTTTATTTTGGGGTCCTCTTTGCGGTCCGCGTTTAAACTATGTCAATTTCTTTGGAATCCGACAATTATTTGGATTTAAACAATTTAGGCTTCAAGTGCCGGGTGTAAATTACAGGATAAAAACAACATATGTACATTGTCGAAATATAAAATGTATCTGTACTCGCTACGAAACAAGAGAAAAACTCGGCGAGCCTCGCCTTTTGTCCTGTTTCTAAAGCTCGTACACATAAATTTTATATTTTCCGGCAAGGTACAAGATTTAAGAGTCAAGATTTTTACTAAGCAATCATTGACCCTTAAGGGGCATACACTTAAAATACAACAGTACATATATTGTTTATATATCTTCGTCATTTGGATAGTTGTCTCATTTACAATCAAACCACATTTCCTTATTTTTATATTTAGAATTAAATGATAACAAAGTCGAGGCCCTTTATAGCATGTATACAGTATGTGATTTGCTCATTGATAAAGTCTGTACCGTGCTCTATAAGTTTTTACATCCTCGTCCTTATGTCTTTGGTGAATAGTTGTCTAAATGGCAATTATACTTTCTCCTTAGAAACACTAATGATCAAATACTTGAAATATGTCATTTCATTTTTAAAAAAACATGTTTTTCGGGATCCATTCCGACAACTTTGTTGTTAAACTTGTTACCTGAAATACAAACATTGATGTAAATCCTAAACCAGCATATAATGGTTTCCCTAGCACTTTGTCCCATATAGCATCAAAACAACCCTGTAAATGAAAATAATAGTTTATAAATTTCTGAATTTTTCTTCATGAAGAATGTTCAAACCTTAACATTTAGTCAGACAAAGTATAAATATGTAGGCATGTTTTATTACCAAATGAAACCTAAAATGAATAGTCAAAGGCATAAAAGGTCAACTTTCTCATAACTATATAAATTAACATAGTGTTTACATCTTCAATCGATTCAATAGTTTTGATTGTCCATGGAATCAACTCCCTTTTGTTCTCGAACCATTTTAAAAACACTTCGGAAAGCATATTTTTGATAAATGTTTTAATTGATCTCTATAAAGTTCTTATATGAGTAAACGTCAACAAGATGGAAACGTATTGTGGAAGTTGAAGATAATCACTTCAATATAATGCATATTTTTTTCGGTGCTAGCATTACTCATATGCCGTCGATCTTTCTGCTGGTGTGCGCGGGTATCACAAGCCTAGGTGTCCAGTACTTCAGACCTAGCATGCAAATACAGCCATCCGGTGTGAGCCAAGACTCCGTGTTGAAGGCCGTTCTTTGACCTATAATTGTTTACTTTTTACACATTGTGACTTGGATGGGGAGTTGTCTCATTGGCACTCATACCACATCTTCTTATTTCTATTGTTTGAATGAAATGTTTTGTTATAAAACTTTCATTTTTTTTAAATCAAGGAGTGCATCTTCTTCAGGCATAGGTCTGAGTCCTTGTATGGGTTTGGCAATAATGTTAGTACTTTTCGATTATATCAGCTCTTTAACGCTTTTAGTCTCGATATTAGATATTATTCGTCGAAGTATGCATCTGTTTCGATAAACCTTGCACAGATAGTGTTATTTTCAATCCCAAAGTGGTTAAAAAAAGGTCTAAGATTTACGTTAAGGAATACGAGTCAGATACTATGAAGGTATTGAAAACTTATTTTACAGTCAAATAATTATAAAATTTAATGTAAACATATTTTTACTATTCCAATTACAGACCTGTTCATATATATTCAATCCGATTTCTGTAGCACATGAAATATCTCCATCTGTTATCAGAGATTTACAACATGTGATTGGTGCAGTTATATTTGTTCCATTAGCTATCGGATAACGGTTCCATTGTGGGGCAAAATTATGAAAATCCTTGTAACTATTTACACCGCAACATTCAAACTAAAATAATTAGAGACATTTCATACTATAATCAAGTCTTATTTTGTCAAAATTCAATTGCGAACTATAGTGTTGTTGTTTGTTTTGTTTTTTTTTTTGGGGGGGGGGAGAAAAAGCAACGAAGAAAAGAAATAACATAAATCAAAGACAATATACAAAAAGACTCGTTTTGTCGGGCTTAGCATACCTCGCACGTTTCTGACCGATTCGAAAAGTGCAGACACGTTATGCATAACGCATCATTATTGAGATTATGACCAAATATGATGTCAATATATTGATCGATTAGTTTCTAAGAAAAGTGTGACGAATTCAATACATTGAAAACTTCAAAGTATCGCCAAACAGGAAGTTAATCTGTTGCAGAAATGTAAACACACACGGTATAACTGGCTGACTTAATATGAAGTCATTCAATTGAGTAGGTTCAGAGAGAAATGTGACCAAAACACTGGTTGATCGAACGGACGGACGGACAAGGTGATTGCAATATAGCTCGGACTTTTAGAGTGGTGTTGTAACATTGTTGAAAGTAAAACGAAGCAGAAAATTAGTTTTGTGTAAATTATCTTTCTTTTAAGTTTTAAAATTATTAAAAAAACCTATAGTTATTTACTTCTATATCATTTGGTATCTGGTGGAGACTTGTCTCATTGGTAATCATAACACATCTTCATATTTTTATATTATTAACTTCTACGTTAATTTTTCTCAGATGGAGAGTTGTCTCATTTGCAATCCTTATAACATTGTTGAAAGTAAAATGAAGCAGAAAATTAGTTTTGTGTAAATTATCTTTCTTTTAAGTTTTAAAATTATTAAAAAACCTATAGTTATTTACTTCTATATCATTTGGTATCTGGTGGAGACTTGTCTTATTGGTAATCATAACACATCTTCATATTTTTATATTGTTAACTTCTACGTTAATTTTTCTCTGATGGAGAGTTGTCTCATTTGCAATCATACCACATCTTCTTATGTTTATATTTATATTATTGACGTTTGTCTTAAGTGTTTTGTTATCAATAATTTATATTTTCAATGTCTTCTTGTATCATGTTTATTTTCCTTTTACCGTTTTCCTTTAATAATTTTACGACGGCGTCCGATCGTTATAAAAGCGATGCTTTATACAATATTTATCCGTGTACAATAACAGCTGATTTTTACATTTGTTCTCATGCTGTACTGCCCTATGTTGTTTAATCCCGCCACATTTTATATTTTTCTGTCCCAAGTCAGGAGCCTGTAACTCAGTGGTTGTCGTTGGTTGCAGTCTGTTAAATTTGTTTTCCTCTAATGTATCGTCATAAATTAAGGCCGTTGATTTTTCCTTTTGAATTGTTTCAAATCTTGGCATGTTTGGGCCTTTTATGACTGAATATACAGTATGGGTTTTGCTCATGTTTAAGTACTGTAACCTATAGTCATCTTAATTCACATCATTGGATTCTTATCTAATTGACAATCATACCACATCTCATCGTTTTATAACAAAACCAACATTAAAATCAATAATATTTAATAATAAAGAATAAAAAAAAATGAAAAATAGCACTTCTGAAATGTTATCCATCGGAAGCGCTTTTCTGAATCTACCTCCCTCAGAGGAACGCTCACAGCCGAATATTTGAAAGCCGATGATGTATTACAAGTGAAACAGGTGAAGATCTACATGATTAAAAAGGACATAAAAGTAATCGTCAAATCCATCTAACTTAAAGGTGAACTCGATAATTATTCTGGATAACAAAGACCATTCATCAGCATCAGCAGGTGGATGTAAAATGGCGTCTTGTTTTATTCTGTTTTTTTTTCTTCTTAAAAAATCTTCAAGTTATAGAAGTTATAAACAGAACATTGTTTGAAGAAAAATAAGACTTATATAACTCTTTAATCTTGAAATCTATTCAAATTAAGTTGTATTCTTTCTTAATATCCTATTAAAGCTTTTAAAAAAATATTAAAATATTGATAACACACCTCGTATATAACAAACATCCACCCCAGGGAAGCAATGTTTTCTCCCTGTATTCCTCGGAAGTCTTCCATAGTTCGCTTGAATAGATCCTTAATTGATCCTTGAATCTAAAATTATCATTTATATATCATGGTTACACTGTATTTCAATATGAAAAAAAATCGACTTCAAATCTTGAATTCGTCTATAATAATTATGAAACTTTTTGATCTATTTTCTCTCTTTAAATGTAATATTTGTGAACTGCATTATAGTATTAATTATTATTACTATTATTATCATTATTATAATGATTTCCAGCTTTGTTAATGTTGTTGTTTTTATTATTATCGGTATTATTATGTATTTATTTCTATTTATTTACTCATTTATTTTAAATTTATTTTTATTTTGATCATGAAGAGAACGAAAATTACATTTTATCAATTAATGCATAAGGAAAAGAAATTTAAAATAAAAGGAAGTATGACGTATTTAGTAAATATACAAAGTCTAGACACAAACAGACAAACTGGGAATTGACGTCAATCGGTATCACAATACAAAAAATAAGAAGATTGCCAATGAGACAACTCTCCACCAGAGACCAAATGCCATAAGTTAACAACGATAGGTCAACGTATGGCCTTTAACAAATGGCAAAACCCATACCGCACAGTAAGCTATAAAAGGCCATGTCGGCGCCTTATAGCTTTATAGCTCACTATACGGTATGATTTTTCTCATGGTCGAGGAAGTACATTTACTTTAAGTTGCTTCAATCAACGTCATTTAGACTCTGTTGATTGTTTTCTTATTTGCAATCATACTACATTTCCTTATTTTACAACTAACAACAGTATCGCTTTATTTATATTCATTTTATCATTTGAAGGATTTTTTTCTCAGAGTTTAACCATGGAAGGTTTTTGTTTTATTAAAATGCTTGAAACTTATCTTAGTGTCATCTTTCTAACGTAAAACTCGTGTTTAGCTCACCAGACCCATAGGGCCAGTGTGGGCTTTTGTCGTCACTTGTCGTCCGTCATCTGTCGTCCGTCGTCGTCGTCGTCGTCCGTTAACTTTAACAAATATCATTTCCGCTGAAACTACTGGGCCACATTTGACTAAACTTGGCCACAATCATCACTTGGTAAGTAGTTTTAAAAATGTGTCCGCTTACCCCGCTTGCCAACTAACAAGGCCGACATGGCTGCAAAAATAACTTGGGGGATGCAAGTTTTGTCTATTATCTTAAAAACCACTATAGAAAGAGATTTACACCAAAACTATTCGATAATTTTTTGTAGGAGTTATTGCCCTTAAATGACGTATTTGCCATTCATTTTTCATTTTTGCCTTTTATCTTGAAAATTATAATAGAAAGACATAAACTTTATATAGCAAAAAATGATCAACAACACAAGATCTACAAAAGTCTCGTGGCCGAGATCGTCAGTCGGCTCCTTATTGAAGTAATTGTGTAAATGGAAATTTTTACCATTTTCTAACGTTTCTGGCCATTATTTTGAAAATTATAATCGATACTTAGAAACTTTAAATGGCAAAAATTATCAGTAAGAAAAAATCTACAAATAAGAAAATTTTGCTGAAATGTTCAGTTGAATCCTTATTGGAGTTATCGCCCTTAAAAGACGATTTTTTTTCCATTTGGTATTTGCATATTAACTTGAAAACTATAATAGATAGATAATAAAATTATCAGAAAGACAAGATCTACAAATAAGTCAATATTTCGGTAATCGTTAGTTGACTCTTTATAGGGATGATCGTCTCCAAATGACAATTTTTACCATTTACAATGTTGGAGAGTGTCAATTGATGAAGATAGGTGAGCGACACAAACTCTTTACAGCTTCTAGTTTTATCTTGCATATACACGTTGGCATGTGTATATATAAATGTTGAAGTTTAAAATTCTGGGTTCACTGTTGTTAAGTTCAAATGTTTGACTTATGAGGAGTTTAGGCAAAAATTAATTTATTAAATTTTATGATCGTTTAAGTCTGTATAAAACTTACAGTGCTCGGTGCAGCGTACATTAGGATGACAACAATTAGTTCCGCTACTAGGAAAACACCAACAGATATGGAATACTGCAAAAGACTTAATATTTTACTGCAATAAAACATAGTGTATGCCCATATTCCAATGTTTAAAGAATAAAGAAATTTTACATGAATATTATCAATCTGAAAACATTTTGAATCAACTAAATATGCAGAAATACTTATAAAAATATATTTGAAATGTTAAGATATTTACAAGTTGCATGTAGAAGCTTATCATTTATTTTGTATTGGTTTTGTGAGGTTTGTTCATCATTGCGCATACTCGACGAAGGGTTTGATTGGGATCGACAGAGTTCGTAACAGATTTATAAGTTTGTATAACATATTGCAGTTCAGGCAATAATTTCTGAAAATGCCTTGGGTTCTTGGAATTCTCCAATTGCAGAAACGTTGACCCAGTTGTATTATTGTGAACATTTAAAAGAGAGCCAATTTATACTATTCATTTTATACAATATTCATGAATGTTTTAACTTTAAACTTCTTTTATACATCAAATACCTCATAAAATTGCAACAAACATGTATTTTAGGTTTGTATGTACCATCTAGTTGAAAAATGCTCTATTCATTCATTATCTAATTAATAGTTGCGCATGTTACTTTACGCGACGAGAGCCACTAGCAGAGCAGAAATTGTTTTCCCTTTTCGGAGCTCCATGACCCTGTAATTTGGACTGTTAAAAATAGAATTCGCTTCGATTTTCAAAATTTTCGGATTTGCTATTCCAGAGTTGTGTGACTCTAACCGTCTTAGTTAAAGCAATTTTTAAACGCGTAATAATAACCTCCTGAAATTGTTTTGCAGATACATTGTATTGAATCTTATATCTACTACATTATTTCATTTTATTTTTGTAGCAATTTCAGTATTCAAACGGCGGGCCTATTTTGCGCTCCTGGAACAGTTGTTTACTGTTATCATAAACATTTAACTTTGAGAAAATAAAAACAATTTCAAACGAAATTTGAATTCTCACAGTCTTCATAATCGTTCTTAACCAAAAAGAGAAACAATAAATGGAAAAATTAAGGTTTATCGAAAAGCAAGAAATTAATGACTGACTACTGTCTTAACTTACAACGATCAATAATTTTGACATCTTAAAACATCCTCCACAGCAACCAAAGAAAGATAAAAATAGAATTAGGATTCCACCGACTATCATGCCCGTAGATATCCCAGAGAATAGATCACTCATATTGAAGCTACTGATGCTGTAGTTGGTAAGATATGTTCCCTTTAGTACTGCATTTAAAGCTATTTTAATAGCATTCTCTGCTGCTTTTATAAAACCCACGTCTGAAGGTGATATTAAAATTACTCCAATGGCTACCATGACAACTCCAATGACCTTTAAAATATGATTAAAATAAACTTAAATCTCGATGTTGGTATTAGAACAAGTTTTGTTCCTTTGATTGTTGGTAAATGTGACTGTTAATTAACAGTTGAACCCACATTTTTTAGGTATAAATTATCACATTTTAAAAATAATGAGTTAATTTTGATATTTTCATATATAAATCTAAGTGATAGATTATTTTTTTTTGACAAATGACGTTTTTTGAAAGACTAAGAATGACATTAATTTTTTGTCGTTTTGATATGGAATAAAGTGTGTAGAAATAAATTCTTGGAATAATGTAACCACTCATCTTTTGCCTATATATTTTTAATCGTTTTTCTTAATGTAAGTAATAACTTATAATTCAATGGAGTTACATTTCACAGTTAATGCCGTCAAGTTGTACTTACTACGAACATTGAATTGAGCCAAACAATAACACATCGACCTGCTTTGGCTATGGCCTCTTCACCAATAAAAGCCATGTTCTAGAAAACATAAATAATATGTGAATAAGGCAAAACTAAGTGTGCTTTACAGAAGATTCCCACATAATGATAATTTCACTTTTATCTCCAAAAAGGGAAAGCCGTTGTAGATAATATATGATTTCTTCGGGACGTTTTGAAATCTTGAAATGCCTAAGATGTTTATCACCCAGGCCATTGTTAGCAAAAAAAGGTTACAAGAATTATTTTGTGAAAAATCCAAATTACCTGACCATTTGAATATTACGATTAAATTCAACTCGAATTGAAGATCAAAATAACTGTCAATCGCGCTTCAAGCTTGACCAGATTCTGTAAGATTTTATGACCAGTAATATAATGACATCCGCTTAATTTGGAGTAATGTCTCAAATTGAGCAATGCACAAATCAGAAATGAGAACGGAAATAAACGACTACAAAGCTGGAAACCATACTGATCTCATTGAACTATAGAATAATATTCTATAGAACAAAAAGAACTCTGTACAGTATAGCTGTAGCCGAAACTTTATAGCGAACCTACGAATCGAATGCAGTGAAGCAAGAGATTTGTTTTTATAAAAGTCTTACATGAACACACTGTACGTACAACAAATCTTAAATTTTAATTGATGTTTGAACAAGGAGAACAGTGAATCTTAATGAATTCAGTTAAAGATTGAGCAGGATGTTCTAGACAAATGACTATCAATTTGGGAAATCTTTACATCGGAAGTAACAGCGACGAATTTGAAAATAACTGTTAAAACCATTCAAAAATTCATCAAAACATGTTCGAATTTAATATAGAAAACTTATTTTTATAACGGATGAAGATTTACACATTAAAATTACAATTGAAGAGGTGACCAGCATTATTATGTATGCGAAACCATAATCAACAAGTAGTCACGACAAAGTTTTATATAGTTAATGAAAAATCCCAATAAGCATAGAACATGGCAACAACGTTTGCCACTTATACTTGACACTCACGTTATTTCATCGTTTTTGAGAAAAAAAAAATCATATGTTAGATATAATAGGACTCTTAAATTCTTTTGTCATGTACTGATAAAATATAAATCAGCGTCTTGGGTGTTATCTTGAACGTATTTACATTCTTGCAGACGAACAAAGTGGACTCAGAAGAAACAAACAATCCTCACTTTTTCACAACCAAA